CACTGAGTTAAGTCAGTGCAAATTACTATTGCATTCAGGTGGCACTGTGTTAGATCAGTGTAGTACACGCACTCAGTTCAGTATGCACACTCCGAGGTGCGCCCTAATTGGATCAGTGTAGTACCCGCACTCAGTTCAGTACGCACGCTCCGAGTACGTTTAGTAACAAAAAGTTACTAGCCACTGAAACGGAGCAAGTGCACGCCAATCGAATTTGCCATTATATATATGTTTTCACCAATCAACGCTCGGTGTCAAAGCGTCGGTGTCTGTATGAGGATTCAGCCTTAAATTTGATTTTACGTTGCATTAATTCACACCTAATGCGACGTAGAATCAAATTTAAGTCGATGGAAACCTGTCAAATTGCGCTGATTTCGCTTTCGCTTCAATCTATAAGGCCCAGTTTCACAATTGACAATTAACTCGAATTAACGGAAGCCCAACTTGCTGAACTCGGCGTAACGCATCTTTTCTTCCTAAACATGAACTGTGATTGGTTAGCGAAGATTTGACAAAGAAGATTGAACGCGTTAAACCGAGCTCAGCAAGTCGAACTTCAGTTAATTCGAGTTAACCGCGAATTGTGAAACCGGGTCTAAGGGGCAAAGTTTAGATATAAATCAGAGATTTTTAACTAGTTACGTTCAGAAAATAGTTGAGAGATTATCACTTGTAATTGTGTTAGATTATAATTTTGTGATAATTTTTGAGAATTAGTTTTATCATGAGTGAGAATCTTTCAACCATTGTATACCTGTTGAGTTTTCTGAACATGTGATCGGTAATCTTTGAAAAACATCCTAAACTATCTTGTTCTTTTTTCTATCATATCTTGTTTTTCTCTTACTGAGTCATCAAAGTACAATCTGTAACACATGACAGAAATGGTGAAATTATAGTTTTTTCATCACAAGTGTTCTTTTTTTGTTACATGCTTGTAACAAAGCAACCTGTGATAACCTAACCTAACCATAACAGGTTTTTTTCCATTAACACAAATTATCTGCGCACATTTTATTATCAAAGAGAATGTAATTATATAAAATATTTGTTTTGTTTAGTTAACTAACAGTATAAAGATGACAACAGAAGTATCAGAAGATCATGCTAAAAGCAAAGTTAGTGAAAGAGAACATATTCGTCAAACATTTTATAAAAATCCAATCACGAAAGACAATCTTAGATTAGATCTGGATTGGAATTCGTATCAGAAGAAAACACGACAATACATAATAAGAAACTACATGTTAAACCATCAAAAAAAGTATGTATATTATAAATAGTAATATATAAATTATTTATGCAATTACATTTTATATTTTTTGTTAGAAGCATATGTATGGCCATGTTCATGTAATAATAAATCTATTAAAGATCTAAAGTGTACTTGTATTAAAAACTTTTAATAATATAACATATGTTAGCTGTTAATTAGTAATTAATGCATTTTAGTAAAACTTATCTTTTTTGATAACTTTTGTTGTGTGTGTGTCTGTAAATAAATTAAAAAGTATGAATGTAATAAATTTTAATACTTGTATGTTATACCATATTTAATCTAAATATAACATATCTAATAATTGTATGTTATAACATATAGATGTAGAGATGAAAACTTTAATGCTGCACGTGGTATATTATCATATTCGATTATATACGAAGATAGAATAGAAGATTATGAAAAAAATGAAGCTTATGAATATCATAAATGTTATGAAGATTTGGAAAAAATTACAAAACATGTAGACTCCAAAAAAAGTGAACGCAATCTACATGAAAACAATACAGGAATTCACAGACAAAAAAAAGATCCAATTAGAACTGATCCTCTCTCAACTGTTGTGCAACAGTTGGGCTGTGTCCAGTTAAACGAGATACCTATTGCAGGAAATACAGAAATTGAAATGCAGGAATAGCAGGAATTGATAGAAGTTAAGGAAGTGGAAAAGAAGAAAAAAGAAGGTGGCTTTCCGATCTGTTGCGGAGATGCGCAGTACCAGAAGCAGACATCTGTTATATGTTGATAACAGATCTGCTGAACAGATTTGAATTGGTATCGTAACCAAAACAATTATTCAAGTTTCCGTTTATTTGTAAGAAAATTAAACTAAAATTAAACATGGAAATGGAATCGAACAAGAAAGCGGTGGACAGATCGTCTGGAACGTTAGAAAAGTGCACACAACTGCTTCTGTTGTGTACTTGTTCACCTGCCTCTGCATATTCTATTCTTCTCTTTTTGAAATCGAGGTTCTCTTTCGCGTCAATGCTCTTCTGTTTAATTACTTGCAAAACATTAAGCATGGAAATTAATGACCATCGCATTGTTAGGCCACCCACACTCTACCTCAAAACATTTAATTCAAATAAAAACATGACAAACCTGAACTTGCATATTCTCATTGATGAAATTTATAGGTTTTACTCCTGCCTGTCAAGTTAAAAAAACTATATCACAGTAAGTCTTGTCTAAAAGAGAAAATAAAAGATCTTGAAGATTATAAGCAAGCCGAGAAACAAACAATCCACAGGAATAAGGATGATTGAGAAAGCACTCACCTATATATAATTGTCTCTTTTCCTCGTAACTTTCGCAAGTTACTTTATAGATCGCACCATCTTCCACCACAATGAGCGCTTTCTTGTTCGATTCCATTTCTATGTTTAGTTTTAGTTTAGTTTTCTTACAAATAAACGGAATGGAAACTTGAATAATTGTTTTGGTTACGATACCACTTCAAATCTGTTCAGCAGATCTGTTATCAAAAAATAACAGTTGTCTGCTCCTGGTACTGCGCATCTCCGCAACAGATCGGGGAATTACCTTATAGAGACCTGTAAACCGACGTTTTTATAATCTAAATTTCTTTATTTTTTAATTGTATTTACTGCACAACATTAAAAGCGCTTCTACGGAAGCAAATAAATATATAAAGCTTTTGAAAATGGGTACATAATGTTTTTTTGACCTTGTTTTTCATTCATAATGATAGTATATGGTATAGTGTAAGTAAAATCCCTTGTTTATTTCAACACTTGAAAACGGGATAACTATACTTTATTGTCAGGAAAAGAACGGGAACTCATGGACGAAAGAGATTTGCGACAGTCTCGTTCTTACTGCTTTCTTTATTCTTAATGCCTTTCACAGGTTCGCTGTTCACAAAAGGATTATGCCAGAATCGTGAAAATACCGAAGAGGCTTACAAGAAAGACCATGCTTCGATTTTACAAGCATAGACGAATCATGCACGCTCGTACAAAAGCACACACTTGTTATCTTTTTGAACGCAGTCAAACAAGTCCCGACTTGCCCGCACGTATATCACACACATACCGCACGCATGCGCCTTGAGTCCCAACTGCGACTCTCGTTAAGGCGTAACCCACACTGTGCTGTCTGGCGCCANCTATCTCGAAAAGTGGTGTACTTAAGTGCAACCTTACAGTAGCAAATACACATCATCACAATGGGTGCGTTCAGACAACTCAATAGTTGCACAACAAGTAAGAGATAATCACTTCTGATTGGATCGTACTTTTGGAACCACAGCAAATTTTGAAGAATAGTCCTATCATAAGCGATGATCTCTCAACCGTTGAGTTGTCTGAACGCACCCAATATTACTTTTTGTGCATCAATTAGACAACCAAATCATATTCTGAGTGTTTCATTAGATTGTTTTGTGTCGTACGTATTGCTGTANTTCAGTGTAAATACGTACATAAGCTTGGAAATAATTTTATATACATGATGATATGATAAGATTATAGAAGGAAATTGTATAAGAAAAAATTTATGCTGAGTTTTGACATTTTAAAAAACAACAGCAAACTCTTAAGCCTATGTCACACTACGGATTTGGATTGAAATTGGATTGCAATTTGGCCAATCAGAGCGAAGATCAGTAAACTTAAGATTGGTTTTCTTTCTTCTGATTGGTCAAATTTCAATCCAATCTCAATCCAATAAAAGTTTGCTGTTGTTCTTTAAAATGTCAAAACTCAGCATAAATTTTTTCTTATACAATTTCCTTCTATAACCTTATCATATCATCATGTATATAAAATTATTTCCAAGCTTATGTACGTATTTACACTGAATTACAGCAATACGTACGACACAAACCAATCTAATGAAACACTCAGAATATGATTTGGTTGTCTAATTGATGCACAAAAAGTAATATTGTGATGATGTGTATTTGCTACCATATACTATCATTATGAATGAAAGACAAG